AGTTAAAGCTTATTGTGCTGCAGGAACTACTCCAATTATTCCATCGTTGGGAGCAGTTTTTCCTTGACGATAACGTTGTTCATTCATTCTACATTGCCCTGAAGAAGAAATTTGAAGGTATGTTCGCCAGGAAAATTTTTGAAATTGCGCTTGATTCAGACGTAATCAGTTTCATTTTTTGATATTTTTAAGGCGACGAGCTATTCAAGAAGACTGTAGCTGATGTAGCTAACAGCGTCATTGCGAGTTTCGTTTCAACTGTCGGTGATCCGTCTTCCTTCCCCAAAGACGTCGCTAAACAGTTTTATGCTGACACTGGTTCGTTTCAATAGCCATTTTAACAGTTTCTCCATTTTTGGGGACGTTACTAGTGTTCATACCTGTATCGGACATCGAGCATGAGTCCGTCCCCGTGATTGAGCGAGCATTGCGAGGAAGTTTTCTGAGGGCCACATTCTAAACCGTTTCGCATAAAATGCGCAATCATACGTTATTTTTCCTGCGCTTAATCTGCCCCCTTCTTCCCTTTTTCGCGTCATTATTCATGTTTTTGGGCACAGAAGACAAGTATCTCCCAAGCAGTGCAAAAGACAGACGGAATCATTGATTATCAAAGTGAAAAGTGATGAATTAATACCGAGTCTAACACTGCGGCCGTCCACAGTATGCCAGAGGGAGAGATCATGCTGGTTGTGTGGGCGGAGACAGTGAGCCAATGTGCCCTATTGAAAAGCGTGCCGTTCCTTGCGCTCATTGGAGGAGGGGTACACCGATGAGGAATACCCAGTGATTCGTCCGACCCAGCGCTTATAACTAGCGTAGAATGTGCAGTCGCTGTGCTGTCGATGGGTCAGGTGGAGGCGTTCCTACATGCAGGGGCAGGTTCTTTCGCACCAGTCCTTGCCACTGTGGGGCAGACAGACGTTAATGAAAATAGGCTGCCGCCGTACCACAATGTATGAGAAGTCACGCCTCCTCCCGAAGCTTCGATGAGCGTGGTACCTTTACAAAATCTGTATTGCTGTGCCCTAAGGCTAAACTGCATCTCTACCATGAGCGTTTTTGAAATTTTCACTACTTTTTGAAGGAAGTGCATTTGATACCCAAAAAAACGTGGCAGTTATCCAGTGAATTTATTTGCCTCTTGGTGTTGTTTTTGAAATTCCCCCAGGGACTGCATACTTACGGCTTCTTTCGCACTCTTCCGGAGGCAAACCTAACTAGTTCAGCAACGCTCATTTTCATTCCATTCATTTCAGTCTTCATTCCATTCATTTCAGTCTTCCTCAAGGACGCATTTGAAGATTTAAGAACCGGAAACGTTGAGCAATTGGAGGCTTTGGAGGTGAAACTCAAGAACGTGCTCAAGGTGTAAATGGTTCTGGAATTCATCAGAAACGTCAGCAATGAAAGTTCCTGGTAATAATACATGTAAAAAAATTCTATGACGGTTCTCTGCTATGTGATATTTATTGCTTTGGGTAATACTAATTTATGTGAAGTGTCCTCGCGCTGTTGTTGAACTACTAAATGATGATTTGTGGTTTGTCTATAAATATAATAAATATAAGAAGAGTGATACTGTACTAGTTTCCAAACAGCAGCTAAGTTACGTTTCTGACGTGTGCACGGCGCAGCAATGTCCCTTCGTTGCTGCTTTTAAAACCCAACATTGCTCAGGGTTACTGGACCGCATGGGATTTTGGTGCTCAGTGCCGTCTGCCCATATTCCTCGTAGTTTTTTGATCCTAACAGGATATTCGAACTCTGGTAATATCTATGCTCGCGACAGTCCTTTCCTGTGGGAAGTTATTTTTACGGTTTTTGTTTTTTTGCATCGAGGTGTGGGGGGGGGGGTGCTTTGGATATACCAGACGAACCAAGTACACTTCAGTCCTTTTTGTGTGTTCTAAGAGCTCCAACAAACTGCCGACGACAAAAAGAAGGCTCTGATGCGTTCGAATAGAAACTGGATAATGGAGTCGATAACGACCCCTTCAGTAAGTCGTGTAGGCGGAGCGCCGAAATAGGCGGAGAAACTAGGCGCGCCTACTCTGCCCTGCTAGGATGAAATTGCTAACGTGACGTGAGAGCGCAGAGGAGGGGGATTAGTCGGGCCCCGTCGTCGTAAGTCACATACGGCAGCGTTCAGACCTCGTGTAGAGGCGCTTTAACGCGCTGTGCTACATCGCTTCAGTGCTTATAGACGGGAATGCAGCTGCAGACGGGAATCGATCGGTGCTGGCTTCTTGTGCTTTGCGAGAGTACGGGACGATAGTAGGGTACGCATTGGCTTACCACGCAGTCTGGTATTGATCGACGATGGTCGCTAGCGCTTTGGGAGGGTAGAAAAGAAAAGAGGGGTACCAGATTGTTTTAGAGGCAGCGCCTACTCTCCTGTTATGCCGAATTCTGTCAAAACGCAAGCGGCTGTTTCAGAGGCAGCGCCTACTCTCCTGTTATGCCGAATTCTGTCAAAACGCAAGCGGCTAGCGCCGATCGATTCCCATGAGAGGCAGCGTCGGCGCCTACAGCACGGGGGCGCCCTTGCAGTGGCAGCGCGTTGACTCGCGTTGCAGCGCGTCATCGCAAAGTCTGGACGCTACCTAATCTATTTGCAAGTCGCAACGGGGGATAGTATTTGATTGCTGTGATAACGAGTGTAACAAGCAGATTTTATTCGAAGAAATTTACAAGTGATCACAATTATTCGTAAAAACGGAGTCAAGGATGTAGGAGATTGGACTAAGGAGGATAGATGAAATCAAAAGAAGTACATTTCAACATGAGATCGGGAAATGATAACTCGCCACGAAGTTTCGTTGGATATGTTCTATAGACACAATTTTACACGATTTTGAGGCGTTGTATCAATTGGATTTCACGCACCGCCCACTGTGACACAAAAAACAGGATCAATTGGCAAACGCTGAACCGTTCAGACCCCAGAAAATGCTCATAGCTAACGCTATAACAGCAATACCACCAGTCAAACCAACAAGTACATACGCTTGCTTGTGTTCTAATTTGACTAGATCATGCTCACCAGAAAAATAGATCATTTGCAGTTCGGTTAAGGGAGGCATAACTGAAAACCACATCGTGTCCTGAAGTGGCGGACACTCTTCTGTGGCGTTTGGTAGGAGAATATCGATCAATTCCCACACCTGTAAGAAAACTTAGAAGTACGACTGATTGTAGGGATACTAATGGCAATCAAACAAAATTCGAAAGAAGGTAATAACTGTTTTAAGCGCTCTGTGCCTCGGGAGGGAGTAGTCTCTAATTTTGCGGTAACATACAGTTTTCAAGAGGGGAGTAGCCTTGAGGTGGGTAAGTTGGTTTTCGTTCGTGAAAACTTGGAATGTCGAAGTGACTCACCCACCCTCGAGGTCCCTTCCCACCTGAAGCACAGCGTTAAAGACAGCCCC